TTTAATGTGCAGAGCAGAATCCTTTTGTTTAACTTATCAATATTTAACTCAGTAAAGAGTCAAACATGCAGCTTTTTAGGAAATATTTTTCCAGTAAACAGGACTCAGTGTAAATTTATCTTCTCTTACCTACATCCCAGCACTTGGCTCACAGCGCGGTGCTCAAGTCATTTCCAACCTCACCACCAATCCCAACAACAAGAGATCAGTTTTTAGTGTTCATTCCACTGGGCTGGTGGCTGGGCGTACTGAATGTCAAGTTATTGTAAATATTGGTTTCACAAAGTATCAACTACATAGCCAATTCACCATTTAATATTTGTGTTTAGGTCTGGGTTAACTGCATGGGCGAATGCTACGCCACTGAAGTGGTTTGGATTAAGTTACAAAACATTGGTGTTTAACTTTCTCTGGTATTTGTTAGAACCCCGGTTTGCCCTGCAGAAATGAAGGCTCTTGTTTTAAACATTGTCCAGGCTATGAAAGCAGCTTTCATAAAAGTTCCAAAGCAACAACTGACGTATCGAAAATATTGTCCCAGTAGAAGAAGGGACCAACGAAATCTTAAATCGTATGAGCTCAAGTAAACGAGATAGTTGGATTTTTTGTGTCTGTGTTTTGAGATAGCTGGGAGGGTTTTGGCCCCAACCTAATGTGATGGAGTAGAGAAAAGTGAAAAAGAAAATCAACAGCAATGCACTTTTCCAGATGCTTTGTCCAGGTTGGACTTCACTGTGAGGAGTTTACACTGAAATTACTTTGTACAGAAGAATGGATTCCCAAGCAGACCTCAAACCCTCAAGGCCCCTTCTTTCCAGACTTACATTGGTAGCATTCATAATTTTAAGGTGACGTAAGATTTTGCACCACATCTTTTGTTGCTATGAGATACTATTGAAATGTAACCTTTTTTGGTCAGTTCCTCGTAGTTTTCTTAACACACCATGTAAGGGATTGTAAAGAGGGATAAAGCTGCAGATAAGTGGTTTGTATATTTAACCTTTTTTTTTCTTTTTCTTCAAAAAGTTGATCTGAAACTTAATGTAACTCTTCTTTGGTTATGTTGTATGTAGTTGCAGTATTATTGTAGTTTCAGACTCCTCAATGCTTCAGTTTAAATGCAGACAGGCACTTAAACTCAGCTGCAGGGCCATGCATGGGACATGGTTCTTGGAGACACTGCAATGTGGGTGCAGTGCGACCGATGTGCATGCAAAGGCTCGTGCAATTTAGAAGGGAAGAGTGTCGTTCAGATCATTTTCTGATGCTAAACTTTACCAATGTCCCTGAAACGCCTCACATGCGTCAGTAAATGCTACAAGTCTTGCTTTATTGTCACACATGCATCACTAGATATTTGCAAAGTGCCCAGAGAAGCCTCTAGTCCCCACTCAGTTACTGCAGTGCAGCATTTTCGACAGCTGTGTGGACAAGCTGGAGAACCCACGCTGCAGAGAACATGCAAACTCCACGCAGAAAGATCCCGGCTGTCCTCACAGGGAGACGCAAACCGGTGACCTTCTAGCTGTCAGGCAACGGTGCTAACCACCAAGCTACCTTGCAGCCCTAATGTGTACCACTAAAGTGCGATGAAACTTAGAGTAAGGTGGTGCCAGCATTTTAACAAATCTTGAGGTTCCCTCTGTCAAATCTAGCTTTTGAACTTTTTTAGCCACACTAGTTAATTAGCATCTATTTATTAGAATATCAGTCTGAAGACCAGCCTATCAATTCAGATTCAGTGATTTCTCTCAACATCTGATTGTAATGAAATCTGCTGCAGACCTTCAGGATTATTTCAGATAATTTCATCCACAGCTCAGGTTAGAATTCCAACTTGTCCAACACTTTGGTTGATGACCGAATAGCAAATCAGCCAATCTTAACATGCTAATAAGCTAAACTAAGACAGTAATCCTTACAGCTGCTCAAAATGAACCTGTTGTCATTGTGAGGATGTTCGCTTTTAGTTTAAAGCTCTGCTGTTCCTCAGTACTCCCTCACAAAGCTGCTGCACACTCACATATGTTTTCAATGAATGTGTCACTAACTAACTGACATAGCAGACCTGGACAGGCACAAATTCAGCATAGAAATACTGGTTGGTTTCTGACACTATGAGCAAAACGTGTGGTGTGTTTGTCCCTCTCATGACCTTTTTCTTACCAGACCAGCTGTCTCTCTTACTTTTATAACCCTCCTCTTTTTGCTCTCTACTCTTTCTTTCCTTACTAAACATTTACTCTGAGATTAGGGACTTTTACTGGCCTTATCTTCCAGACGGCCCTCTGTATACAGGTGTCAACGTAACGTGTCTGTAGTTTCTCAAGCGGGACCCACGGGTCTTTGGATTTTTAGCAAAACCTCTCTTCTATGAAAGGAGCTTTCCTGTAGGAAGTCTAGTAAATGACAGTGCTCGCCTTGACAGCTGGCACCGACTGGACCAACAATAACACAGGAGTTTTTTAAGATGTTGGTCTGCATTGGATCACTTCATTTTACTGCAGTGTGTGGCATCAGCTTGGAAACAGTGCTGTGTGTGTGTGTGTCTATTTGCATGTGTGCACGTCTGTGTCCAATATACCAAACCAATGTGCTGTATGGGTTTGACTTGTTTGCATATGTATATGTATGGAAATGCACATGCCAATAATATGTTTGTGTTTCGTTTGGTCATGCACCAGTATGGTGTGTAGCACATTTATGTATAATGTATGAAATGTCAATCACATGTTTGCATTCATGCACGTGCGTACGCAATGTGCATAAGTTTGCATGCTATGGTTTATGTCTGAGTGTGTGTTTGTGTGTGTGTCTGAGTGTGTGTTTGTGTGTGTGTGTGTGACTGTGCGTGTTTGTTTGTGGCATTGATGTCTGATAGGGTTTGGCATCTCTTCACCACTGGGAGTTTTTTGTTCTTCTGTGTTGTTTAACTCTCCCCAGTAGAAACCAATCAGAAATTGGCTACAGGTCTCCTGCAACATATTGCACAGTGTGTGCGAGTGTATTTGTGTGTGTGTACATGTTGTGCCAATCTCTACAGTTGTTAAACCACCTGCTGTTTTCCATTTTCTCTTTATTTCTTTCCCTCCCGGGCTGTCTTGCTTTTCTTTGAATTTTCTCACCAATATCTCCTACCTGAGCAACAAAATAGGCAATTTCGCATCACCTTCCAACACCACAACTAAGACTGTTTTGTCGATTCACATCTCCTTGTCTGAGCTGCTGCTTCTGTAGTTAACATTCAAGTAGGTTTAGAGAAAGATGCAAAAGGTCTGGTTGTGGATAAAACAAGCCTAAGAGCTAAAGCCGTGCTTCCAGGTTTGTGAAGCCATAGTAGGGTACATGAACCTGTAAAAAAATGAAATTCTGTCCTCATTGGCCAGATGTGATTTAGCTGCAACAACAGTCACATGACAAAACAATCTGGTACTTTTCAGTTGAACTGCAGGCAGGTGAAGGCTACGAGTCTTAAAGTCTTAACATTTTAGAGAGCTAACATTTTCTAATCAGGCCTCCACACCAGTAGAGTTAGGGCTAATGGGAGTGACTCATTTGTAAGGATTTGGTTGTAAACCACAACTGAAAGTCTGACCTGATAATAATGAGGTAGACCTATTAGGAGTGATACTTTGGGAAACATTAATGCCTAATAGTTAAGTCAAGCTCAATAGGTCAAGATAATACCACAGTTAATCGGATTTATTGTCTGTACACCCTAACTGTCTGTCACATATTAATGCCAGAGTACTCACATTTAGATCTTGATCTGATAAAAAGTCAAGACATGAAAGTTAGCAGGGTTCATCCTTTGGGGACCATAAATGTCTTTTGACAAATTTCATGAGTATCCATTTGGTAGTCACTGAAACAAAGCAGTGACTGACCAGCCGACCAACACTGCAGTTCCTTGAGCCAAACTGTTAGCTGAAGCTAGTTAAGAGTAGGGAAAAATCGCAAAAATCATTCTGTAGAAGATTGCACTTGCATGGAAGATTGCGAGAGGTCACTCACTAGGAATACATTTAAACAGTAGATATCAGTTTTCTGGTCAGGCCAACCACATTTCACACACCTCTCTCATTTTGTTGCCCGTCTCTGGTGCTCAGCTGCACTATTACACATAAATCACACAGCATGTTGTGTTTTGAGAAAATAATGTAGTACGAGCAGACAGGTGGCGTTTTATAGATGTGCTACTGACTCCCAGTGAACTATTCCTTTGTCCTATGTTGACATGTAAAACCTTGATTGATGCCTCCAAAGAACACAAGAGGACAAACTTGATTTATTTGAGTATTCCTTCACGCAGGAAAAAAATTCCATCAACCCGTGTCATCCTGTTATAAACCTCCCCCCTTGCCAGAGATCCCAATAAATGTCATAACATTGCTGGATCCTTTTTCTGTTTAAAACAGCTTTATTACCCTCACCTAGATAGATCAGGGTGAACTAATGCCACAGAGCGAAAGTGTGTGTGCATGCACGCAGTGTGAGGGGGGCAAATTTTTCCAAAACGAAGAAGCCTCCTCCATCTTTAACATCCTGTCCCCACCTCTTAAAAATGGAAAAAGTATCCTTTGTGAGGGCTTGGGAGGGCAGGTCGAGAGAAAACAAGTCCCTATAAGGGGGGGAAAGGCGTAAGGAACAAGGGAATGTCGAAATAAACACTCCTTCTGGAAAGACTTGATGGCAAGTAGATCAACATCTTGTTTTTTCATGCTTGGAAATGTGTTTTAGGCACAGTCACACTGCCTAACTTATTGAGTACTGGGGCGTTGGGTTAATTAGAGTTAAAGAGGAAGCTGATATGGTTTTGACCTGCAGCAAAGCACAAAAGATCTTTTTCTGAGATCAGACTGGATAGAAACAAGACCTTGAATGCAGTGTGATTCCAAATAGCAATTTCTAACCTCATATCGCCCCCCCATGAAGCCCTAACCACATCACTCAGCCTTTAATATCTCAGAGAAATAAACCCGCTTTTATTCTTTCTGCAGAACTCCTTCTCCAGTGTCTTTCACATGGAATACGAGGAGCTGGGTGAAGTCCTAGATGCCCCCAAAAGGTAAGAGGATCACCCTCAGCTGAAGGCGGTTACTAAATCAAAAGTCCCGCAGGTTGGCCTTGAGGCGCACTCAAGCTGTTTCCACCGGTTATTAGCGCTTGAATTTGCAAACTACCCTTTTCCTCTCTCTCAGAGGCCCTTAGATTGAGTAACGGGCACTCTCACAAGGATTCATTATCATCACATAGAAGGAGAAACAGTAAAAGTGAGATGTAAGGTAATGTTTTGGCAGTAATGAAAGTTTTATTGTGTCCATTCAGTCACTTTGAATTGAAACAGAAAAGACGAGACAGAGCGGCTCAGTCCAATACTCATAAGTTTGCCGAGCTGATTTGCAGCCTCTCGGGATCTCTTTGAGGTAATCCACCTCCTTTCACCTGCCAAATTCCCAGACATTCAATCGCAGGCTTTCAGAACAAAGCTCTCGTTCTCATTAGCCGGGCGCATTTGGCTCGATACGCTGCCTTCAGGGTTGAGCTGACAGCTTCTCAATCACAACATGTTTATCATGATGAAGTGGAGCCTTTTCTCTTTTTTTTTTACTATCTTGGAGGCAGTGTGAGACCTTTCCAACAATCGTCCATCACGCACAGACACAGTTGTTTTGAGGTCATCCTGCACTCTTATTGCATGTGACAGCTCTGTTAGCTGCATATGTGCAGAAGCAGTTGAGTTGTGGTGGATGGAAATTTGCAGTAAAGTCATAGCAATCAGGGAAAGGTATGTATATATGTTTGTCATGTGTGCAGCAACTTACAAAAGCACTTAAATGTGCTCGGTGAAGAATCACTGAAACATTGACCCATTACAGCGCTGCCTCTACATGATTATGATTATCTTAAAATATTGTGGCTATGATCGTTGTTGCATTGTTGGTGTGATTTTCAAAATTTGGCCCATACGTTCTGTCACAAGGAAAGGAAATACTGTCAAATAATCATAAAGTACCAAACATTTGTTTTGCTGTGTAAACCCCCTCAATTTATGGGTTAGACGATATTCAAAAATCCTAATAATGCGACTGGTTTGACAGGTTTTGTGGACACGGTCATTTCTTCATTTATTCCCCCACTGATATAAATATATTAAAATGATCATGTGATTTTGGCGTACTGTGATGAATAGCATAGGGCATCTTTATTGCACCACAATGCTTCATGTCGAATGGCACGTTGTGGCACATTTTACCTTAACAGGAAAACTGCTGCTTCTGTGATTTGGATATTGCCATGCTGTTTTGAATAATTTCTCTGCCGTCGTGCAAAACTGCCACATCTTTAGTTCAAGTACAAACCGGGACTTGAACCAACCAAGTGCCTGATTCAGTTCAATCACTCACAACTACGGGATACATCCATCCATCCATTATCTATACACCGCTTAATCCTCTGTAGGGTCGTAGGGGGGCTGGAGTCTATCCCAGCTGACTTAGGGTGAAGGCAGGGGACACCCTGGACAGGTCATCAGTCTATCACAGGGCTACACTTAGAGACAGACAACCAAGCACACTCACATTCACACCTACAGACAATTTAGAATCACCAATTAACCTCAACATGTTTTTGGACTGTGTGGGAGGAAGCCGGAGAACCCGGAGAGAACCCACGTTGCATGTAAACTCCACGCAGAAAGATCCTGGGTGTCCTCACCGGGACACGAACTGGGGATCTTCTTGCTGCTAACCAGCAAGCCACCTTGCAGCCCCCTACGGAATACAATAAAGGCAAAAATGCAACAATAGTCTGAGGAGGTAAATTTGGAGCCAACATTCCTGTTGAGTGGATTAAGTTCACTTGCAACATTTTTTCCAAATCTAGGACATTCTTAAGTCTGTCTGCGTGGTCCAGATAAAGTGCGTATCAGATGTTTAAAGAGCATCCAAAGCCTCCCTAGACCAGACCTTTCACTGTTCCAACTTAGTAACTTTCCGTAACGGACATTCTGACAGTCGTGCCTGAATCATGCCAGTCGCTGTCTAAAATGACAGTGAGTGCAGTGGACACAAATAATTCTGCCAATTTTTCTCCAAATGCAACACAAAGAACTCCCTTTAAAGAGAAACTACCAGAAAGTGTTGGCATTTATCCTCATTTTAATGACTGATCACGTTTACTCCATTTACTATAAAAACAAGGCATTTAGCCCTTCCTTCAAATGCGGCAATTCAGCAGAGGTTTACTCCATTTTTAGTGACTTTATTAGTGTTCTTTCATTTCAACTAGTTTGTTTTAAGCATAAAAATCTCTTTATACTTTGCACAAGTCCTAGTCGGTGGTGGTCATTTGGCTGTAGAAAGCAAAAGGAGTGTGACACAGGAGACCAGACTGCATGTCCTGTGTTGGTGAAAGATTATAGTCTTGGATAAAGATTCGGAAAAATCCTCACAGATATAAAATAGTTGTTTTATGAAAATATCAGTGTTTAGTTGCATAACCAGATATCGTACATGAAAACAAATTAAGTCAGATAAAAGTGAAGAATGTGCACATATGATAAACACGGCAATCAGATTAGCATTCCTATTATGTAATAATTACAACAAATATTGGTTGTTTGACACTAAAAACATAATTTAATGTCTGTTTATAAGCTTTTTAACTGCTTCTCTCAGATTTTACTTCTGATAAAAACTCCTCCTTCGACTAAAGGCCAAGGCAATTTTCGTTGGTCTTATATAAATGTAATTTTTAGGACACAGGGCTGGCTTTTTCTAACCTAATTCTATTTTTGGTGAACAGGAAAAACAGAGGTGCCTCGCAATTACCACTCCTTTTTCCTGCTTGTTCCCAAAAAACTAATGTCTCATAAACAGCACAGTGGTCATTTGTAACGGAGAAAGAGCAAAACGAAAAGATAGAGACAGAAACGATGGAAAGGAAAGAGCGGAGAAGTGACGACTAGGCAGCCCATCACAGCACCGAATGATTGAGGGATTTACAGTCGGGGTGAGGGGAAAGTCAGGATGAGGAGGAAAGGATTGGACGAGGCTACAGCTGCACAGCTTCCTGACATCAACTTGTGCTCCAGCCAGGAGGAGTGAATAAGCTCTAATCTGATTTAAGACGCAATGAGATAGAAATCCTTCCCCTCTGCTCCCTCCCTCTCCTTCCTCCCTCCTCCCCGGGCCCGCTGGTCTCCAGGGTGGCCTGGCCTCCACAGTTGCTACGCAGCATCTAAAATTCAATCTTAATCTCGGCCCAAGCAACAGAATTGGATAGTGTGTGTTTGTGTGTGCAGTTATGTGTGTATTGTATATGCGTTTGTATCAACTTACCAACGTATGTTGGTCGGTCAGGGTGGCCCTCATGAAATACGATATAAGAGATATAGTTTGATGGATGCCACTATTGTAGCACAATCTATCAATAATACACAAGGTGTGTGAAAAGCCCTCAGTCTGAATTTGATAGTGGTGAAAGCAGATAAGATCTGACTTCTGCTGGTGAGACGTTCCTCCACCTTGACAAAGATAAAAATCCAGATGTCGCACAAAATACGTGGAATTCCTCAAAATAACTTTTGACATGGTTAAACTCACAACTGTTTACTAGTGCAACAAAAGCTCAGTTTGCAGCAGCTTCTGTCAGGGTGTTTCAGAAAACCAATAGAATCTAGATAAGTTAGTTTACTGTATTATTTATTTTAAGGAAGGTTACAAAGAGAAAAATCCAGAAATATATTTATAGGCAATTTTGTACTAATTTAACCCTCTGAAGCCCCAAAAATGCTTTGAAAGGCATTTTGTTTAAAAATCACCCAAATGACACCATTTGTCATAGAAACTATTAAAACAGGGAGAATTGTCAGATTTTCGCATTTACAACAATCTTTTGACTAATCCCACATAATGTGCTGATATGTTGAAAAACTCTATCAAATCATGTATTTTGCATGTTTCATTCAAAAATTCACCAAAAAAAGAAGAAAAAAACACACATTTTGGCACAACTGAGAACGATGAATGTCTCAGTTGCGACCAGCAGTCACATGACAGAAAAAGTCTTGGACTATTTGGCTCTGGAAACATTTTAGAGAGGTTGAAAGTACTTGATAAATAAATGTAGCATGCTTCAAGAACAGTATACAGAGACTCAAGTTGTTGCCAAGTTGTTAGATACATCCAGCATGTATCTGGAGTCGATATGCAGAGTAGTGGGAAAAAACTTGACGTATATTGTAAAACTGTACATCTTAATGTATCTATTGTATGTAGCGCCACCTTTATTTCCTGGCATTGGTGACCCCTGTGGCCAGTTTTTATTTTAAATATAATATATTAATGCTATCTTAGTTCAAGGTTGGTTCATTTTTTCTGTAAAATGAATAATGAAAAATTCATCTTTTTATGATTTATGACAATCAAACTGTATTATACGGCGCAAAAGATATTTTTGAGTTCTCTTTACTTCTAACAAGAAACTGCGTGGGGTTCAGAGGGTTAATAAAAGTTTGACTTGACACAAAAACACATGTGCAATCATATTTGGAGCACAGAGCTTTCAACCAAATGTCATGGTCAGCCTTTTTTTTTGCCTTTACTAGAGTTAAGGAGAGAGATGAGAGGAAAATCAGGGAAGAGAGAGGGAAGAAGTGAAATGTCAGTTCCACTTGCACTGTCCTGCTGCCATCACAGTGCCGTCGAAGCTACAAGCTGCTCCTCTTTTAAGGAAATTGATCGACATAGCAGCACTTGACTGCTCTACAAGTAACTTAACACATCAGTGCTATTTACATCAGGAAACATCTGCTGTTGAATGCTGCCACCACTGCCCTGATAATGAGTTGTCCTGAATCAGCAGTGTTTTCTTGGAGCAGTTAAAGCACAAATGGAATCAGAGTCAAGCATTGTACTGAGATTTAAGGCTGTAAAAATCATTAATGTAAACTCCCACTTGACAGCTGTGAAACTGACTCTTAATTTGCAGCTAAACAAAACACAGTAACAACATTTCACTTAGAATCTTCAGAATTTGACACGACAAGATACCGAAACAGATGGT